GAAAAACCAGTGCTGTTAGGATAGCTATGCAAAAAACGCATCTTCGCACGGGCAGCCCGTGCGTTGGCCAATTATTTTTTTTTGCTGTTCGCAGTGACGCAAGGAAGGGGAGGTGGGTTATTTGACGCCAAATCCATGGTTAGTGGGTAGGTAGTAATGCATTTTGAGCATTTTGTTGAGTTTACAACTGACAGACATAGCACCGTGAAAGAAATTGTTTTGTATTGGTGGCCGAGGATTCAGTTCTGTTACTGAAGGAACGGGCCCTTGTAGGATTCGATCATTCGTTTCGATGACAAATTGGTACTGAATTTTGCCAGGGGATCAAAACTGCCATCAGCTTGCTTCTAAGTTGTCGTCGAAAGAGGGTACCATCGACAACCTTGCTGGTGAAATGGTTGCATTCGACATTTGCTACCATTGAGGCCGCTTTCAACTGCCTATGCCTGTCGTAAGGAGTGAATATCGAAGAATTTCGTCACCCTTTTTAATGAAAATTTCAGAAGCGTCAAGAAGATTGCGAAATTCCGTAGAAAACATATGAAAACAGAAAACATATAACTTTACGAAAAAATAAGGATTGTTACTTGCAACTGTAGACAAAACTTGGCAGAAATCGATGACAAAATGCGAAGGATTGCTGCTAGCAGGATATTAGGATAATCTGTTATGCTGAGATGAGATATACGGTTTTTGTGGGTTAAGTGGATTAACTTCAGCGCAGCGACCACCAAGACGAGGCGATCCAGTGCCTCCTTATATTGAACATGATGATCGTTTTGATTGGCCTGATGTGAAATATGCTCGAGAAGGGGTTACCGTTCCGCCCAATCGAGGAAATTATCCAATCAAAAGTAAGATTTATATAGTTTTTTGTAGCTTCAGCTTATTAAAAACGATCTCAAAATCTTTTGAATTTGCTTTTAACTGAAATTATGTGCTGTTTGATTTCGCTTTTTTTTTTATTTTTGCTTATTTAGCCATCAATATTTAGTAGAATTCTCACTACTGTTTTCATATTATTTATATTTTAACAGCTATTAATTAGTCAATACCACGTCGTCGTAATGATGAGGTCCAGTGATGGTGCTGAACAGGAATGTGTACGACTTAAGGGACTGAATTTTTCTTCGTTTTGATTAATTTTTCCAAACTTATATTTCATCATTGATTTTTTTTTTAAAATACCCAAAAAACCCAATAATGATATTCTCAAATAAGCATTTTCTGTCGTTTTCTCCGTTCTTACTTCGTTTATCATAAGGAAAGTTTTTTTTTTTTTTAAATATCCCATGTGGGGAAAAAATGCGAACTAGTGGAGATAAGTGGAGATAAGAGGGTGCGGATTCAAAAACAGAGTATTTCTTCTCACTAAAAGGCTAGAAGACACAAAATTTACTGATATGATTTCCTCTATATTTACCCCGAGTTCACATAATCTTTGGGATTTCGGGGGGAAAGCTGAACATGTCATAAAAAGCTTAAAATTTTTGTACACACAGGAAATGCCTGTTTTTCTTCCCTTTTTTTTGTATGCGAACTAAAAATGGGCAAAAATTTGCGTAGAATTCTTGTTCTTGTTTGTTTTTTGATCAATGTTATCGATGCTATTACTAATCTCATCCTTTAACCCCGTCCCTTCTCGGCCCTTCACCCTTCGACCTCTCCTTCAGTAACATTACAGAAGAAAAAGTGGGTTTATTTGAATCTAGGTACTGCGTATGTCAATGAATCAAAATACCCCTGGAAAGTGTCAGGCCTGGCTAAATTAGGACGAGATTTATTACACGCGATAATAATTACAGGCGCGCGAGAGTAAGATGAATATTAAGTAGATCACAGATTCTGTTGATACGAAAGTGAAGTGTGTCAGTCGGCACTGTAGATAGCAGGTGAACGCGGACCCTGAACGTTGGATCCTCGAGCTTATATACTGCCCCTCCTGCAAGCAATATCATGAATTACAATCTCCGACAACAGGGATTGAGAATGTTCTGCATGGGAATCAAGGAAGGGATTTGACCATCGTAGATTTCATCTATGGTGGGAAAAGCGGCGAGAGCATAGGTAGCTTGGGAACGAGGGAA